ATGAGGCCACAGACCCCCTGCTGGGTTTAGTGAGAGGCCAGGCACCAAAGGGCGAAGGTCACCCTCCCTCCCACTGAGGCAGTCAGAGCCCCAGGCCTGGCACTGCGAGGAGGCCCCTGTGGGGTCCGAGGTCAGAAGGTCAGAGCCTGCAGAGCATCAGGGGTGGAGGACACAGGACTGTGTGGGCAAGTCACTCCTTTGTGGGGGGACAGGGGCCTCTTTTAGGGGTGCTCTAAGTTCACACCCACGGAAGATGGGCCTTGATGATCACAACTAAAAGTACGCCCCTTCGTAAAGTCAGAGGGAGGCGGCTGCAGAACAAAGCGCAGGCCTTTGCGTTCTCTGGGGCAGCCACCGAAGCAGCCGCCGGTTTTAATGAGAGGAAATAACATTCTCTCCGTTTCACGAGCTACAGATGGAGCCCACGGAGGGAATCTGCTCAGCCCCCAAAATGATCAGACTTGTCAAAATATGATCATTTTGTTCCTCGCTGTAAATGAAAAGAAGATATGATTTAAGTGTCATCCTTTGGCGTGCAAGCTGGATTCCTATAAATCAATCATCCAAAATCAACTCTTTGGAGTGATTCACTACAAATATGCTGGAAACAATTTCTTTAAACAAAGCATGAAAGTGTTCCTGTATCTCTCCAACATGGGAATGGCTTTAGACATGCGTTATTGGATTGCTGCGGTGTTATTTGCTTAAAATATGTTATTTATGGTTTTGCGTCTGACAGGTGGGGTGCCGCTGCCTGCCTGCCTGCCTGCCTGCCTGCCAGAAACTCCTGCCCGTGAGAATGGCGGGGAGAGAGAGAGGGGCGGCCCAGGCCAGGCCGGTCCTCAGCCTCTGCAGCTGTGACACGCCGCGCTCCAGGCAGAGAACAGAGCATAGCCACAGCCCGGGTGCTGGCTGCATTGCTTACTAGCCAGGAGTTTTGGGCAACTCTTCCTTCCGTTTTGTATCTTGAAAATGGGGGCAGCGGGGACAACCATAGCGTCTAGCTTAGCGGTTGTTGTGAGGAGCCCAGAGGCGTCACGTGGTCAAGCAGTTAGAACAGAGTCGCCGGACGGCAGCACCAGTAATGTTCGCTGCTATCGCTGTGTGATGTCACCATGGGAAGACCAGGCGGCGTCCTGTCCCAGGCCGAGCCGTGCAGCACCCCAGCTGTGCTTCTCAGACTCCGTGATGTGTGTCAGCGTCAGTGTTTCCCTTACTCCATTACTCCATTGAGAAGTAGACGTGTGAGGACCAGGAGTGCCCGATGCCAGCTTGGAGCCCCCGCCTGCCCTGAGGTGCCCCTCAATGTCAGAAAGCACAGCACCGGGAGGGGCATGGGGTTCCTTGGGGCAAAGCTTGTCTGCGGAGCCCGTGGCCCACGCCTTCGGCCTCTCCCCCACACACAACCCCCCCCCCCCCCCCCCCCCCCCCCCCCAGCGGGCAGCTCCTGTCGGCCCATCTCCCACTGCTCCAATCTGTCTGCATCCCAACAACCTTGTACCTCAGCCGAGACAGAGTCTGAGAAGTTTAATATCATGTTAAATGAGAGAGCCAATAAGACGTGACACTATTAACGTGATGTCAAGGGCTTTCCGACGGCTGAGGGAAAGCCCTGTCCCCTCAGGTGCGGCTCCGGCACTGAGGGCGCCGGGCTTCCCTGGCTGCTGGCCGGAGCGGCGGTCCCTCCAGCAGCGCCGGTGCCCGACTCCGAGGCCGGCGAGACTGTGAGGACGCCGGTCCCTCCAGCAGCGCTGCTCGTGGAGCTGGGACGTGAATTAACCGGAAAAACGCACTCGGTGACTGAGCATGGGCGCCGTGCTCCTCGGTCCAGGTATCCCCAGAACTGCAGCGGCCCCTCAGGACAACTGGGTGTGGGCTTCAAAACAAGCCAGGCCTGGCCAGTTGCTCAGTGGTTAGAGCATAGGCCCATGGACCAAAGGGTCATGGGTTCGATTCCTGGTCAAGGGCACATACCTCGGTTATGGGCTCCACCCCCAGCCGGTTCAGGCATGTGCGAGTCTCTCTCTCACCTTTCTCACTCCCTCTCACTCCCTCTCTCTCACTCTCTCTCTCTCTCTCTCTCTGCACCCCACCCCAGCCCCAATCTCCCTTCCACTCTATCTAAAAATCATTGGAAAAAATATCTTCGGATGAGGATTTTAAAAAACAAACAAAAACAAAGCCAGAACCCCAGACAGAGGGGAAATCGGAACCTCCTGCCCCTACCGGATGCCCCTCCCCCGCCTTCCCTGGCCTCTCAGTTGGCACCTGGCAGCCTGCTCTCCACCGGGTGAGGGTGTGAGTGAGGACCCTGGTCCTGCCTCGCTCACGGGGGCTTCGGGAAGAAGGTGTCTGGGGCTGCAGGGCCCGTTTGCCGTGGCCCAGGTCCGTGGTCACCTTCCAGCACCTTCCCGGGACGAGATCAGCCCTTAAAACGTGGGCGTGGCTCCTGTCTGGGTCGGAAGGTGTGTCACAGCTGCTGGCTTTCAGGAGCACAGCTGCGGCCGCTGAGGATGCTCCAGAGGGTCGGGCCTGGGCCTCCAGAGAGCCTTTTGCTGCTCCAGCCCAACTGAGATCCTCTCCCCTCTCCCCACCTGCACCAGCGCTGGTCCTAAAGGACCCGGTCCCCAGAGAAGCCGAGGCTCTGCTACGTACCCCGTTTCCCACCCACCCACCCATCTCACTGCTCACCTGTGGCCAGGACACTCTTTCTGGGAGTCTGCCTGGGATTTCATTCCTGAGAATCCAGAGGCAGGGCTGCAGATAAGTCCGGGGTGTTCATCGCAGGGATATGTTCCTTTCAGGAGATCAAAAGAAAGACAAGAACAGCCAACAGAACACTCCTTATTTACACTCATCTGGTGTTCCAGGCCACATTCTTCCCCTGGCCCTCTGCCCCCCACGTCCTGCACCATCTGAGGGCGCCTGACCCTGGAGCTGGCAGATGGAAGGCAACCCGTGGTTCTTAAATCTCACCCACCACTTGGGAGCTCCCTGGGGAGCAAGCCCTTGGGATGACCTCGGTGGCCTCCAGAACACCGCCCCCCCCTCCAGCCAGCTGCCAGGGGTGACGAGGAGACTCCCTGCCCATGTCCTCTCTTCCCCGGGGAGCTCAGGATTGGGAGACTCAAGGACAGGGGAGGGTGAGCGAGGAATGTGCCTCCCAGCATGAAGGACAGTTGCAGTTCTTATCTGTTCCCGCTGACCTCAGGGCAAGAGGGGAGGACTTGGGCCAAAGGCTGGAAAGAACCTCCCGACTCACAGGGAGGCGGTGCGGGCGCCGCTGTGGAGTCTGAGTGGAGTGGGCCCTTTGCTGGGAGCTCCCCCACACCCGCTCCTGTCCGAACGCCGCCCCAGCCCTTTTCCTTTGCTGAGACCTGAGACCCTGAGGTAACAACTCCAAGACAGGAAAGAGGCGAGTGCAGCCGGGAGAAGGGCTGAAATGAAACCGCTCTGCACAGACTTGGCAGCGTGAGGGGCGTGCTGGGGCGGCCAGGAGGCTGGACACCAGAGCCTCCGCACAGGGGCCAGGGACAGTCAGCTCAGCCCTCTGGGCTTTGGTTTCACCCTCGGTGAAATGGGGAAGCGAGCCCCGGCTGGGCCTGCATTGGAGGTGCTGTGATGGCCCGGCCGGCGTGGCTCAGTGGTTGAGCGTCGACCTATGAACCAGGAGGTCATTGTTCGATTCCCCGTCTGGGCACACGCCCGGGTTGCGGGCTTGATCCCCAGTGTGGGGTGTACAGGAGGCAGCCAATCAATGATTCTCTCTCATCTGATGTTTCTATCTCTCTCTCCCTCTTCCTTCCACTCTGAAATCAATAAAATATATTTATATGTTTTAAAAAGAAGTGTTGTTATGAACAGCATCTTAGGAAATATGTGATTTTACTTGTAAAATATGGAGAAATACTGCTTTCATCAGCTCACCTTCCCACTCAGAGGGGACAAGGAAGGTGTCCCTGTGCCGGGAGGGAGAGCTAGGTGATACTGAAGATCCCTTCCACTTCAAAGAGTCTATGTTATAGTTTCATCTTTCCGCCAATGAACTTCACTCAACCCACTCTTCCTTCGAGCAAGGCAAGGACGCAGCGTGTGTGAGCCGGCAGCTCTCCGGACACTTAGAATAAAAGCTGACCCAGGGCCCTGACCGGTTTGGCTCAGTGGACAGAGCGTCGGCCTGTGGACTGAAAGGTCCCGGGTTCAATTCCGGCCAAGGGCATGTACCTGGGTTGCCAGCACATCCCCAGTAGGGGTTGTGCAGGAGGCAGCTGATGGATGTTTCTCTCTCATCGATGTTTCTAGCTCTCTATCCCTCTCCCTTCCTCTCTGTGAAAAATCAGTAACATATTTTTTAAAAAAAAGCTGACCCAGGGCCACCGCGTGGAGGGACATTGTGCTGAGCGGATTAAGCCGGCCAACAAAAGAGAAATACTATAGGGTTCCGCCTACACAAAACACCTCAGCAGTCAAGTCTAGGGAGACAGCGGAGTGACGGCTTCCAGGCGCCGGAGGGGGTTAGTGCGCAGTGCGGACAGAAGCCCAGGTTGGGAACATAAGGAAGTGGTGACGGTAGCCAGACATGTGAATGTACTTGATGCCGCTAAACTGTCCACTTAAAGTGGTAAACTTTATGTCATGTCTATTTCACCGCAGTAAAAACGAGAACGGAAACTGACATCAGGACACACGGCTACTAAGCAATAAATTCCTATCCGAACCTAGGACTAGGCTTTCGCCACTAAAATGGGCTGTTTCCCCTGACAAACTGCCGCCGTTGCTCTGTGGGAGGGGAAGGCTGTCCTGTGTGACATGCCCTCGGTGAGGGCAGGGAGCAGGCTCGGCGCCGGGGTGTCCGCGGGCCCCCTCGGCACCTGGCGTCCTGCCCACACACCTGGGCTCTGAGGACGCGCCGAGGCTGCGCACCGGGAGGAATTGCTTCTCACTCCCTCTTGCTGCAGCGCAACCTTCCTTCACCTTCCCGCTTTAATGTCTTAATCAAGTGGCAGATGAGAGGAACTGATCCATGCAAAGGACAGAAGGTTTGACAAGACGTGTGGCAGCCACTGCTGCTCTCCTCCCCCGCCCCGGAGCCGCCGCCCCGCCAAAGAGAAAGACCGGGGAGACAGAAAAAGAAAGAGAAAAAGGCAAGAGGAGATTTTGTACCCTTAAGCCTCGACAGCCGAAGTTCAAAAGACCAATCTTTACTGAAAATAAATTTAAAGGAGAATTTTTGATGTACATTATGGTCTCTGGTGGAAGACAAGAGCGCTGCCGGCGGTATATGGAGCTATGCGAAGCCAACGTGGGATTACTTAAAAGTGTCTGTAGTGCTTTGATTAACTGGTGTGTATTTTATTTTCATACGACACAATCACAGGCCTGTATTGATAATATCTTGCTATTATTGTTTGACACTTGAATCTCCCTTTTTCTTATGACTTGGAAGCAGGCTTTGTTCAGTCTGGGGCAAGGGGCAAAGGGTCAGGATGATCCAAAAGGGGTAAGCGGGAGACGTGCCCACCACCCCAGACTTTTTCCATGCAATGCGTGAAAGCACTCAGACCTCTCCTAGGAAGCTAAGCCATGGGAGCTCAGACGTGGGGACCCGAGGAGCTGGCCAAGGCCACGTGCTGTAAGCAAGCCCAACCCACCTTCTGCCATTCCCTAGGTGTGTCTGTGAAACACTCCCTCATGAGGGCACCCTCTGGGAATAAGGCTCCATGCCAGACACTAAGCTCCAAACCCACCTTTCTATGGTTTGCTCTGGGGTGCTGGGCTGGGACTCTGCAAATTGCATTTCTCCTTGGCCACTGGGCTCCTGTTTGGTTTTGCCAATAGGAGGAGCTAGAGCGAGACCTGAAAGCTGGGGGAGGGGAGAAAGGATTTGTTCCTTCCTATCCACCTGCTGTTTCTGCCTCTGCTGCCCCAGCACAGGTGCCCTTGCCCAGCGGCAGCAGTGGCTTCCGGGCACCAACTTCCTTTGGCTCTCACAGTACCAACCTCACTGCAGCCCGAGGTCCCAGCACCAGCCAGGCAGGGTCCCCTGGGAAGGCGGAGTCCCAGCTCTGCGGAGCCCTGAGTGACTCTCACCTCCTGAGACAGGAGTGGGCGGGGCGCAGTCAGCTCAAAGCACTGAGCTTGGGGCCCTGCCTTCCAGCTCCGGGGTGTCAGCAGCGCTGCCCCATTCAGGACTGGATCCCAGCTCTTCAGGGTCCTGCCTTTGTTCATCCAGATCTAGGTAATAGCTGCTGGCTTCTGCTGAACCAATCCCTGGTATAAAATCATCTCAGAAGCAATGCCTGGACCCCAAACAGTATATGTTCCTTGAAACAAAGTTGTTCTGAGCAGCGGGCTCCATTCTCCTTCATCCGGAAGCAAAGATGGCGCTGGGGAGTGGCTGGGCTGCATTCCTGAGGCTCACAGAACCCAGGAGAGTCCCATGGAGCCATGCCAGGGAGGAACTGTGAGGGCGGTGGCTGAGAGGACTGCAGAGCCTCACACCGCACTCAGGAGGGCATGGCCTGCACCTTTAAGATGTGGCAGGGATAAATCCAGTCAGTCCTTTGCTCTTGGAGCCCTTGGGGACAAGGAAATGGCCACTGGAATGTATCTTTGTTTATAGAACGGACAGAGCAGCTGTTTTCCTTGCTGGCTTTTCCCAGCTGTCACCCCCCCACACACACACACACACACACTGTGGCACTCACAGGGACACACTCAGAGATTTTTTCTTTCTAATTTCCAGAGATCTCTCAAGTGCCAGTCTGACTCCCCCACACTGGCTCCTTGTATCCCTGCTTTATACCCACTGAGCTCACCCGCTGCTCCGTGGGGTCCTGCCTGAAGCCTGGGCAGAGAGTTCTGTTGCTGGCCTCATCCCATCCACTGGCGGCTGAAAGTGGAAGCAGGGTCTCCGTTATCCCTGTGCCGCCGGGTGTGCGTCTGAGGCCGGAGGGCACACTCCCGGGCTCATGGCGATGGCCTTTCTGCCTTCCCCGCTGCCCTGGCACGGTGTGGGGCCCTTGTGATCCTTTCATCCCCCACCCCCACCCCAAGCCGGATTCTGTCTAAACTTCAGCCAAACCTGGTGCGGAGCCCTCTATGCCTGAAACACACCTGTGAGCTTCCTTCAACACGGAGCCGTGTGCCCCGCTCACTCGGGCGGATCCTCTTAGCACAGTGGCGTCAGAAGACCGGCCTCTTACTGGCAGTGTGGTTCTGGCCAATTGATGGCTCTCTCTGAGGCCCAGCTTTCTCCCTGTCTATTTCACAAGGCTGCTGTCGGGTCAAATACTATAATATACATGAAAGCATTCTTTTAAAATATATTTTTATTGATTTCAGAAAGGAAGGAAGAGGGAGAGACAGAAACATCCATGATGAGAGAGAATCATTGATTGGCTGCCTCCTGCATGCCCCCACTGGGGATCGAGCCCACAACCTAAGCATGTACCCTTGATGGGAATTGAAGCTGGGGCCCTTCAGTCCACCGCCAACGCTCTATCCACTGAGCCACGCCAGCCAGAGCCATGAAAGCATTTTTACACAGGAAAGCCCTGTACAAATGGGAGGTAACATCACTGCAACAGTTGCTGTCCAAGCCATTCACCATGTTATTATCTAAGTCCTCCTTCTGGTGTTTTTGACTCATCCCCTTTCACTCTGCCTGGTTGGGCGATGCTGTAGATTTCTCCCTGGGGCTGCAGTTGCACAGAGGAGGCTGAGGCAGCCACGTGTCTTCATTCTTGATTCTCAGAGCCCACAGGGCTCTGGCCCACCCAGCTCCCCTGGGGTGGCCTGGGCTGCCCCTCAGGGGCCATACTTTCAGGCCTATCCAGTCCCAACTGTGGAGCCCCTTCTGGATGGGCTGGCGGGAGCCCCATCAGTGGCTGCATGAACCCTAACGGCGTGTGGCCCATCATGCAGGTCAGGGTGTCAGGGGAGGAGGCCCGGCCCGACCTCAGAGCTCCCTGAGTTATTTACTGCCTCTGGCGTCATGGGCTCATTTGGGCCTTTGCCCAGCCCTGGGCAAATGGCTTCACCTCTTCTCCCCCGGGACTCTTCCTTTTCTACCTCACAGGAATAAATGATGGGGAGGGAGAACAAATTGCAGCACTGCTATACTGTGCTGTATACTAAATTCTGCAGTTAAAAACTACTATAGATTGAAGAGAGGTCTCCCGCCTTGAAGGAGCTGTTAAGAATGGAAACGCTCACCCATGGGAACAATGCTAGACCCTACACTCCTGTCCAGCTCGTGCTAAAACAGAGCCACGCAGACGGGCCTCAAATCGGGAGACGATTAACGGAATCAGTGAATATTTCTTAGAGAGTGTCAATTTTTTTTAAAACCTGTGTTTTGCAGAAAATAAGAAAATTGATAAGTGAAATGAAGAAGAAAAAATTACCTATAATTTCTATCTGAAGATAACCACTGTCTACAGGTTGATATATGTCCTTGGAGACGTTTTTGATGCATGTATTTATATTCATGCAATTCTAATAAAAATCAAATTATTCTTGGAGTATTATTTTATAACCTACTTTTTAAACTTAATTTTATTTATATATATATCTTCATTATTTTTAATGACTAGAAAGTATTCTACTATACAAATATAAAAGAAAATGTGTCATTTTGTTTCTGGTCCTCTAATATTGGACATCCAGAGAGCGCCGGCTCTGTGCCACCTCAAACATTGCTGTGTGGCACCCTGGCAGTCGCCTTTTTATGTACATGTGATTGTGGCTTTAGGCTAAACTCCTAGAAAAAAATTACTGAGTTTAGGGGTTAACATGTTTCTAAGGCATTTATCCCCTCTTACATTTTGCACCAAAGTACACTCATAACCAACAGAAAAATTATCAAGTGTTAGATTCGGCTTTGAAAGTAGAGAGAAATGTGGATTGAACACTAGGCATGGAGACAGCTTTGCAGGAGGAAAGCAAGTATGCGGCACTAAGATGGAGTCTAAACAAGTCATTCCTTTATTCAATGAACAGTTGTTAACCATGACTGGGACAGGCACTGTGCTCAGCTCTGAGGTATAAAGACAAGATCTTTGAGACACTCATCAGAATGGAATTAGAAGGGACGTGGCTTTGGGTTCAGCAGAGCATCTGTGCTGGGAGAATGTGAAGTAGTGGAGAAGTGCCTGAGTGACGGCCTTCGAAGACCTGGCTAAGTGGTAAGGAGACGGGCTGGTTCTGACCGCCCTGGAGTGACATCAGTCCAGGGATGAGTGCTTGGGTCACAGATGCCTGGATTGCAATCTGGTTTGGCCACCAGCTCTGGCCTCAGGACCCAAACAGGTGATTTGACCTTTAGAGTCTCATTTCTCCAACTGCTGTGAAGATACAATAAGCTAAAGTGTGTTAAGGGCTCAGCAGAAGTAAATGCTCAGTAACGATTAGGCATCATTCTTATGCTGAAAGGAGGTAAAGAGAGGTTGGTGCGGGTCTAAGAAGATGTAATGGTCCCCACATCCTTGGTCCAATGGCAGGCTGGGTTCTGGCCAATCCATGCTCTCTGAATAGCTTATGGGCTCTGCTCATGGGGACTTCATAAGGGCTGACCCGGGTGGTGCAGTTGGTTCTCTGAAAAGGCATAAGAGCAAGATAGATGATGATAGATAGATGATAGATAGATAGATAGATAGATAGATAGATAGATAGATAGATGATAGATAGATCGATATAAACAGATATAGATAATAGATATAGATGATAGATAGATAGATGATAGATAGATCTGAGAAAAATGAGGAACACCCCCAACTTAAGTGACCCATGAGGCTGAGAAGGGGTCACTACGTGTCCCAGCGCTCCGCTTGCCTGGCGGTCACATGTCGGACTAGCTCTGTGGAGGCCTCCTCAGAGGCTCTCCTCCAGTCTCCACGCAGCAGGGGCTGCCATGCGTCTGTGAACCTGTGATTTGCCTATTTGGCCAATGACAACCTGTCAATCTCCCCCAGTGTCACTTCCGATAAACAACTCGGAGAGAGTGACACCTGGATACATCAATTCCATCCCACATTCCCTAGATGCCTCCCAGCTCCTGATCACCAGGGTGACTCATGGCCAGACATGAGTGCTGCTGGCCGAGACAAGGGGAGGAGGAGCTCTGAAGTCCCTGTCAGAGGCCTGCGTCCCAGGCTGGCCCTCCACCAACCTTCCTGCGGCTCTTAAAGAGGCACCGAACCTCTTTTTGATGCTGTAACTGCAGACATCTCTGTCCACCGGTAAGAAGACACATTAAACAATCAGAGAATGTTAACCGAAAAGGGGAGGGAGGTTTTCAAGATCGTCAGGTTTAACTGTATTTATATTCATCCATTGAACAAATATTTATTGAACGTCCATTATGTGCTAGTGTTGGGGAATATATCAGTGAGCAAACAGACCAAAAAAAAAAAAAAATCTATACTCCTGGGGCTTACAGTCTAATGGAAAGAGACAGATAGTAAACAAAATAAATAAGTACAATATATAGCATATTAGGTGTGATAAGTGCTAGGGAGCAAAACAAAGCAGAAAGAAAGGAATGGAGAAAATTTGGACTTAACTTTAAGTAGGGTAGTTAGGGATGACCTCATGGAGAACGTGATATTTGAAGACGGAGAAGATGATATTTGAGTGAAGCGAGGGAGCAAGCCGCGAGGCTCCCTGGGGAAAGTGGGTTCCGGCAGAGGAAACGGGGCAGACCCCGAGGCAGGAATGTCCCCGTGTGCACGGGAAGTGCAGGTTCCGTGTGGCTGGGAGAGGTGCGGAGACCCACGAGCAGCTCCTGCAGGAAAGCGCTTGGGATTGTCTCCTGAGGGAGCCGCGAGGAGATCGTGAACAGAGGAGTGATGTGGTGTGATCTGGATTTTAACAGGATCGTTCTGGTGCTGTATTGAGAATAATACCAACAATAACAATGTGTGCTTACATAGCACTTACGATGGGCCAGGCACCATTTTAAGTTCCTTGTCCATCTAGACTAGTCTTCACAAGAGCCCGACAAAGTCCAGTCTATTACTGCTCCCACTTTCCTGCTGAAAAACCAAGGCACAGAGGCCTGATAAGGAACTCGCCTAGTGCACGCAGCTCGCAAGTACAGAGCCAGGTTGTGAGTGCAGGCAGGTGGCTCCCGGTTCGGTCATTTCCCCGGCCTGCGTCAGCACGGGGGTGATGGTGTTGCGGGGAGAGCGGACCCCATTCTGGCTGTATCTGAAGGTGGAACCAACGGGTATTATTGTCGGATGAGCTGTGGGTGGAAGCAAAGAGAGGAGTCACACTTTTGTTTTCACGTGAGCAGCTGGACAGATGGAGTTGCTTTTAACTGAGGCAGAGAAACTGGAAGGAGGAGGTCAAGCAGGGGCAGGGGCCATGCTCCGCGGGGTTCCTATCAGACATCGAGATGTAGGAGAGATGAGCCTGGCAGAAACTGAGTCTCAAGGATTTGCTCAGTGTCATGGAGCTAATTAGTGAAAGGGTTAAACCGTTCACTCATGAGCTTTCCCCCATCTTTGCCCTGCTCAGCACATTTCCATTCTCGGGGTGGGGAAGGGGGGATGGGGGGTCGGGGAGCCAGGCCACTGTCACACCATCTGTACTTCACAGGGGAATGAGGTGCTGGACGAGGGGGACAGTGTTGCCGGCTTGGTCCAGAGGGAGCTGGTAACCCAGGTGGCTCTCCCAGATGACTCTCCCAGGTGGGGGGGGGGGGGGGCGGGCGGGGCGCGGGTGGTGCTTTAAATGTTTGCAGACTTCCGCCATTTCTCCCTCCCCATGGGCTGCTGGGCTGGGGTGCTGGCCTCCACAGAACTCTGTCCTGAGAGAAGGGCCATCACAAGGGTCCCCAGCAGCTCGATGCGGGCTGGGTGGAGCTGCCGCTGTTTATTTGGGTAGTGAGCTGCTATTTAAAACCTCGCTTTGTTTCTGAAAATGAGACAGCTGGGGCTACATTTGGTGGATAAAGACATTTTGTTGAACTTTCAAAATGGGTATTATTTTCCATTTACACTTATTTCACGGAGAATTGTAGGAAGATGAGATTGCAGGCATGTCTGTGATATGCAATAAGGAGTGATGGATCTTTGAAGGTAAAAATATCTCTAGGATATTCTTCTCCTTTTTCTTTTTTTCCTCTCCTCTCTCTCTCCTCCGGGCCTCAGGTTGGTGGGTTTAGGTTTTCTTTTGTGTTGTTTTTTAATATCAAAATGGAGAGTGTCTCTGGGGGGAGTGTAGACTATTCTCTGCTCAATGTTTGTCTTAATAAAGGTTAAAAGAAATGAAATAATATTAAAAGGGATCTCAGGAGACGGGAGTAGCAGAAGCTCTCAGCTCCCTGGGTTACGGGGGAGGAGGCGGCTCAGATACCAGGTCGGGGAACCCACCTGCCACCCACCCCAGGCTGAACGCCTCAGAGAACAAAGAAGCCAGGGGAGACCAAAGGAGCAGAGAGGAAGAGGACAAAAACGGAGAGAAAGTCGGATTCCAAGAGGCCGCTGCCCTCTCTCCCCACGTTCAAGGCCTCGTCCCTGGGGAGCGGCCTTGGGAAGAGCATGCGTCCCAGGGGAGGCCCGCCAGACCTCGCTCCCCCGGCTCTCTCTGCCTCCTCTTAATTACATTGGAAGGAAACCAAGAAAAGAGGAACTAGAAGGAAGAAAAACATCCATCTTGATTTTTTTTGAATTAAGAATTTAGATAAGGAAATCCATTTAGTGTTTATTGAATAAATAAATGAATTAATCATTAGTCTATCAGCCACTATATCAAAGTACCAATACTTGACTCAAGGAATGATTTAGGGGATCAGCAAATTTGGCATAAACACTCAGATTTTTTAACCTCCTGCGCCCAAATACAAACCTCTTTATTTTTGGCTATTGACAAAGTTGATATTAAAAACAAACAAACAAACAAAACACCCCAAACAAACAAAAGCCATGGAATTTACCACCATCAAAGGCCTGTGCCATGCAAGGCTTGCATCAAGCTATGTCCTCATAAAAATACTGAAAAGACCCCTACCCTTTGTACATAAGTACTAGGTGATAGAAACAACATTTTTAAAGGAAGGGAAGCAAATAGTTTCCAATATACTGAGCTCAAACCTGTAGCCTCACTCAGCCACAGGGCAGAGTTAACTTCTTATCCTCACCGAGGATATGTTTTTATTGATTTTTAGAAAGAGAGGAAGGGAGAGGGAGAGGGAGAGAAACATCAATGTGAGAGAGAAACATTGCCTCCTGTCCATGCCTCCTGTACTTGCTCCAACCAGGGGTTGAACCGGAAACCTAGGTATGTGCTCTGACCAGAATTGAACCTCCAACCCTTTGATGTGTAGGAGGATGCTCCAACCCACCGAGCCACCAGGCCAGGGCGCACAGGGTTAGATTTTAGAGTCCAAGTTTTGAAGGTTCTTTTAAGTACGCTTCCCTCCTTAGCCGGTTTCAGGTACGACTCCCTTCCAGCCTCCCATGGCTGACTGATGGATGGGGCCTGCCCTTCTTCAAGGCGAACTCCTCTGGGGACAGATCTAGATCTCCTTCCTCTGGGTGTCTCCCAGCATCCCCAGTGCCAGCACCATGGCGGGAGCACGGTGCCCATCGGCAGATGATTCTGGAATTGGACTCAGTGTGGTCATGTCCAGAGTTTCAGCTTTTCTCCCGAAGACCATGTTTCTTAGACAATGACAGATGTCATCGTCCATGGTCATTTGTAAATAGCAATTTGTTGTTTAAGGGCAATTACCCTGAGGCATCCTGGACTTCTCAGTGAGATGTCACTCATAAACCCACTGGCCCTGGGAACCAGCGTAAGACACAGAAACTTGGCGATCAGCTCTTCCTAATACCTTACAGTAGCTGAGAACTCAGGCACATAAGATCTGTTAAGAGAGTGCCCTGCCCTGGCTGGTTTGGCTCAGTTGATAGAGCATTGGCCTGCGGACTGAAGGGTCCCTGGGTCTATTCTGGTCAAGGGCACATGCCCAGGTTGTCGGCTTGATCCCCAGTGGGGGGCATGCAGGAGGCAGCCAATCGATGAATCCCTCTCATCATTGATGTTTCTATCTCTCTCTTCCTTTCCCTTCCTCTCTGAAATTAATAAAAATATATATTTTTAAAAGGTAGCATGTCCTGTACTTTGATCTGAGGGCAATAAGATCATAAGGAATAAAAGGGGTAGAAATATTTGCCTCTGAGAGCAAGACTTATAATCAATAAGTTGAGAAGGACCACCTGGGGGTCAGCCATGGAGCAGGAAGCCAAAGAAGTTCTCCAGCCTGACAAGAAAAGACCACATGAAAGCGAGCCAGAGGCCCCAGCAGCCCAGAGCAGACCTTTGTTGTGGCTTCCCTGGGCAGAGGGGAGGTGACCTGCTTCAAGACTCTACCTCTGGCTCATTGGGAGAGAGAGAAGCCACAGGCTACACATGTGAGCGTGACCCCTTGCCTAGAAGCAGAAATACCTTCCCTGGTGTCAGGCCATGTGGGGTGGAGACAGTTGCCCTGAAGATGAAAGAATCCCTGAGTGTCAAGGAGGGAAGGGATATGAATCATCCTCTCCCCCGGCCCCTCCCTGGCAGGTGAGGAGACTCCTACTTAGGGAGGGGAGGCTCTATTTGCCTGAAACCCCTCGTCTCCCACAGAACTCCGTGACTCCTACCTGCATGCCATCCTCCCCAAAGGAGTGACTGATGTCCCAGTAAAACACAACACACCTCAGACCATTTTCTGCTTTTTTTCTACCACCTTCCCAACAAGTTCTGGAACTTGAATATGCAGTCACCAACCCTGGAAGTTTGAAAACTGGAAGGCGGGGACTGGGGGGGGGTGGGGGGGCGGGGCGGGCAAGGGCTGAGCAGGCCCCACTTAGAAGGACAGTAAGCCTGGGGAGGGTTCCCAAACGCAGGTCACCTGAGGAGCACCTGGAGAGCCTGGCAAAAGTGCAGGTAACTTGCCCTGAAGCTCTGACTCCACACCTCTGTAGGAACCTGCGGTTTCCCCACACCTCAGGCGAGTCCTAGCCACTGGGCTTGCAGCCCCTCGCTGCAGGAGAGCATGACAGACCAATCAGGGGAGAATCAGGGAAGCTCACCTCCCACAGGCACACGGGGGTGTAGGGCTGAGTGCCGCTGGCCTGTACCATGGGAAAGAGTCCCCGCTATGGGCTTCCACCCTCCCCATGAGCCAGTGACTAACCAAGTCAATGGGTCAGAAAAGGCGGGGCTCCTCTGAAGGCGCTCTATCATTGATTCCTATTTGAATGATCATCCGTTCATCATTCAGGCTTTGAAGAAAGGCTGATCTGAACCGGCACCACGCATGCCCAGATGACTCTCCAACCCTCACCCGTCTTCGGCCAGCCCACCTAGGGCTGGTCCCTCAGCTGCTGACCCCCATTCTGTGCTCGCCCTTGATTTAAGGCCATGGGAGGAGCCACTAAAGATATTGAGGCTGCAGCTTCCAAAAGAAGACTTGCTACCACCCAGGCGGCAATTAATCACCTCTCTGCCCTCCTCTCCCCCACCAGCATGTGCTTCAGACCAAACCGGGCCTTTATATCCCATCCACAGCAGACTCCCCGCCCCCTCCAAACCTCCTCCCAGGTGACATTCTCTAACTCCACCACAGCCCAGCCACAGTTCGGCCCACTTAGCATCCCACATGGCTCCCGCGTGCACCGCAGGCAGCAGAAGCCCCGTCCGTCTGAGGCTGAGGACCACCTCACTTCCCTGTCTACTAGGGGACATTCCAAATGAGACGAAGGGCCATGCTCCCAGGGGGGAAAAGTCAATCACCTACGTTTTCTGCACACGCCCTGGGTGTTTGGTGTCCCACACTGGTCTAGGCTGATAACACAGATTACCCAGCCCTTCTGGGCCGGCCTTCCCTCCCAGGTGGGCCCGGGATTGTCGCTGTTTTAACGCTGGGAGACACAGAGCTTGTAAAGAGCCTGGAGCTCTGAATGGGGGACAGTTATGTAAGTCCGAGGAGCTTTGGCACTGCGGGACCACAGGCTCCAGGTCGTGTCTAATTGCAGGGAGGCTGATGGCCACAGCTGAAGATACCAGCACAGGACCCTGGTCTCGGCCTGCCATGTCTCCCCAGCAGCTGCACTAAAACGGAAATTAAGTGCGCTGTCATGGCCATTTAGGGCATTAGGAACGGAAGGCGCCCGAGAGCGGCTGCCTGGCCCCTTGCCCACCTTATTAACAAGGTGCAAACAAGGACCTGTGCTGGGCGAGGGAAACAGCTGGAGGAGAGGCCTGCTCTGCAGGTGGAGCTATGAGGCGAGCTGGGATGCCGTGAGGCTGTGTCCCAAATCACCTTGGCTGGGGAGGAAACTGGTTGATGAATGAGATAAAATCATCAGCCTCTTGATGGAACTCTTTAAGGAACATTTTCTAGGTTGCAGGTCCTTCATTTCCATTCCAACATCCGCCTTATCCCCAAACCATACACATACAAGCAACTGGCGGCTGGGGGAGGCATGGGACCGAGTCAGCCCCCTCTCATCACGTTTACTTGCTTGAGGCCTTCAGGCTAGAGGGTCCCCACAGGGCGCGGCCCGCCTGCCAAGTTCTCCGGCTCTGATCTGGGGAATCCTCACCTTGGCCACTGTCCAGCCCTGGACACCGGGGCTACCTGCTAACCAAAGGCCCCAGGCCTGGCTCTGAGGATGGGCTGTTTTGCTGCTCACGTGCCCCCCAACACACATACAAGCACATACCCTTCATACCCTCTCCAGAGTCACCCTGACCTTTATTTCTAGCCAGTGTCCTGGCTCATTGGCCCACAAGCTCCTCCTAGGAAATGTGGTCAGACAGGGTGGGGGACACAGCAAGAGCGTGAACAGAGCTGTGACACCTCAGGGTGCTGCTCTCACCTGCAGCCTGAGCCCGGCCTGGGGGAGGAGCTGGGGGCCTGTCTTGTTTCTTGGCCAGCAGCTGTAGCAGAGGTGAACTGGGACGCGGGAAACACAGCTCCCTCTGGCCAGGGGAAAAAATTAAAAAGCCCGTTTTTCTGTCCTGTCAGGTCTATTTAAGTATTTAATGAGGTGAGATAGTACCAATAAATTTAACATGGCACAATAACTCTGATGACGGGGCCACAGACTAATAAGCTTCATCCCAGGGACAGAAGAGTGATCTCGCCTTTGCGAGATCTTATCGGGTTTGATTGCTTTGTGCAGATATTAAAAAGGTTGAGCAAGGACTTTCGGGCGCTGGCAGGGATCTGTGCGTTCCTCCCAGAGAAGAGAGATTGAAGCCGGGCCTCAGAACACCAGGCTGTTTATTTTAATTGACAATCAAGAGGAGTGGAATAGGTGGAGGGTGGAGGGTGGGTGGGCGCCACGGGGGGGCCTGTGAATAGGTGGCTGGTGTGTTTTCTCCTCTTCAAAAGCTTGTGGCTAAGCTTCAAATCCGAGGGCCTATCCAACTGAGCTCCTGAGGCTTCGAAGAGCCTCTTCCCCACTTGTCTAGAGCAAGGAGACGGGCCACTGGCCTGGGGGTCACCCGTGATTCCTGTCCTTGCTTTTCACGGGGCCAGGCCTGCTGCTGACATCTCGCAGCTCTCGTGTCCCACTGGGGCTGCTGCTCCCGTGGCCCAGTCCGTCCTCCCATCTTCTGCAGATTTATGGGGCTGCCACCAAGGCTCCTCCAGACCAGGGACCACCGTTCTGCTTCAAGTCCCCCCAGCACATGACGAGATCCGAGCTTCTAACGTGTGAAATCCACACTTTGGGGTGAGTGCAAAACCTTTACAATGGGTGGATTAGTGAACATTTAAAGTTAATGTTTAGATATTTATATGAATGTATATAGTAAAAAATATAACTAATACATTATACATCATTTCACAGATATTATTACTCACAATGAGGTGAAGGTAGACTATAAATTTTAAAGTGAGTCAAGTTTAGGTAAATTGTTTTTGAAAGTAATGGTACAGGGAGTATCCAAATGAGTAAAGTTTGGGAAGCACTGTATTAGCTAATTTACTAATTGATTGGTTAGTTGGTTAGTTGGTTGGTTGGTTGGTTGGTGGCTTTGTTACTGATAGAATTTTTCCCCCAATATTTCATTAAGAAAATTTTCAAACATAGCAGAAAAGTTGAAATAATTGCATAGCAAATACCCAGATGCCACCACTTAGATTCTACAATATTTTGCTGTATTCGTTTATTATGTACCTGTCCATACAGCCTTCTCTTACACCCTCCATCAATCTATCTGATGTTTTCGGATGCATTTCCGACATCAGTGCACTTCACCCTCAAACACTTTAGCATGCATATCATTAGAGTGCAATATTTGTTCATGGTTGGCTCATTTTGGGGGAGAAGTAAGATTTACATGCCACGAAATGCACAAATCTTAAGGGTATCATTCAATGAGTTCTATAAGTTCCTACACCTGTGTAATCCACCATCGTACAGAAACAACCACGGTTGTGATTTTTCTCACTGTGTATTAGTTTTGCCTGTTACAGAAGTTCATCTACATGGACCGGTACAGGATGTACCTTCTGTATAAGGCTTCTTTCACAGTGCAAGGCGAACGCTTTTGAGATTCATCCATGTTGACGCCCGTCTCAGCGGATTGTTCCTTTTTGTTGCTGAGCGCTAGCTCTCTGTGTGTCCATGCTCCTGCTGTTGATGGACATCTTGGCCTGTCTCCAGGTTGGGGTCTGTAATCAATAAAGCTGCTATGAATTCCTCTACAAGATGCTTTGTAGATATATGCTTTTACTTCTCTTGGATAAATAACCAAGCGTCGTATTGCTGATCATAAAATAGATTTATCTTTAGTTTTTGAAAAAAAAAAAACACACACACAAACTAACAGGTCTTTCTTCAAAGTGGTTACACTCTGCCACCAACAATGTACAAGAATTACAGTTACTCCCCGTCTTTGCCAACATTTGATGTTTTCAGCCTTTTTAATTTTAGTCATTCTAATGGACGTGGACTTGTATCTCAAGCCTTTTTTTTTTAAATGTGCTTATTGGCCATTTGTGAACTTTCCTTAGTGAAATTGTCAGATATTTTCCCAGTGTTTTGGTTATCCTGTTTGTTTTTCATGATTGAGTTGTAGCAATTCTTTATAGATCCTGGATCTAGTTCTTTGTCAGATTATGTTTTGTAAATATTTTCTTTCAGTCTGTGGGTGGCTTGTTTTCATAATTATGTCTTTTGTTGAGCAAAATGTTTTGATTTTGACAAATTCTAACTTATAATAATTATTTCCTATGGTCATTGTTGTCAGTGCTCTAAGATGCCTTTACCCACTCCCAAGGCATGAAGCTGTCCTGGGTTTTCTTCTAGACGCTTTTGAGTTTTAGCTTTTACATGCATGTCTGTGGTCAATCTCAAATTAATTTTTGTGTGTGGTATGAGTCAGGGGTCAAGATAGATTATTTTTTTATATAAGTAACCAGTTGTCTCAGGAAAAAAAAAAGTTGTTGAAAGACTTTATTTTCTTCGTTAGGTGGCTTTTGCAATTTTGTCAAAAATCCAATGACTGTCGGTGTAGGTCTGTTTTGGGCTCTCTGTTCTGCTCTACGAATTGATGGATTTTTAAAAACAAATTCTTAAAATGTTAGATTTTGAAGGAAACTTAGAAAGTCCTTAATGTATCAGTTTGTAATCTTTCTTGGATAACAGAGCCCTTTAAGAATCTGATGAATATTGTGGTCCATCTCTCTCTAAAGGTATTTCCTATAGATATAAATGTTTGCATATATTGGGGGAGGGGGAGGTCATAGACCTTTTTTGAAATCTGTATCTCAACTCTCATATTTTCCAGAAGAGAAGGTTTAGGCCCAGAGAAGTTATACGATTTGTCAAAGGCTACAGAGTTTAGCTCGTGGTAACCCAGACTAGAACCCAGTGCCTTTTACCTGCTACACCAAGAAAATGAGTAAGCCACACTCTCTATTATCCAAGAGCTTACATTTTAGTGAGGAAGTTAGACATGTACACAACTAACCACAATAGAGAGCACTGTCAGATAAGAACCAAAGCAGAAGTATGTGCTGCAGGGACATGGAGATTCCAGGTAATCAGGGAAGGCTTCATGGAAAAGGAGGCATTTGAGCTGGACCAAAGAGATGTGGTGCAAGTATGCTACAGTCCAGGGTATTCCAGGATGAGTGAAAGCTCTAGAGTAGAAAAGACTAAGTTCATCAAAGCTAAAGTCCAGGTCTGTGTGGGTATGAAGCAGTAGATGTGGATATATTAAAAATGGATATATAACCATTTTGATGGTTATAACAATACTCCACACATTCTGGCTGATGGCTGGGGAAAACTTCCTATGAATTGGTATTTTTCAAGCTTTGTTCCTGAAGCCATCACTATTATGAATTGAAAACTCTGTGTTTCTGAGTGTATTTAGAATGGCAGACTAAACCAACCCCTGGGTGAGAAAAGGAGGAGGTGGAGGCAAGCAGTTGAGCAGAAAGAATTCATAAGTTGGTGTGAGCACACACCACATTGAAACCTGTGTCTAAAATGCACTGATTGTGTGATCCTTCACAAGTCATGTGACCTTTCTGACCTTGACCTCCCATTTCATCATTTGTAAAATGAGACTAATCATAGCACCAGCCTCACCGGGTTGTTGTGATGTATCAAAGAAATAAGATATGTGAAAGCACGTCACCCTGGGCAGAGAACCGTGCAAAGAGGGGAGACCACCTTATTATAAAGAATGACCTTGAACCTCAGTCCTGGGAATCCAGACTACTGGTGCTGGGCAATGACTCAGAGAGGCAGCGATTCAAGGGAAACACAGGCACCTATACTTAAAGCCAAAGCCTGAACAATGCCTTCCGACCCCAAAGGCAAAGAGTTGTATGGAAACTGTGACTTTACACACATCAATAGGCTTCATTTTTTCTATTTCCCATTCAAAGCCACCCTTGAAATTTATTTAACCTTATCTCTTATCTCTTCAACTCTATCTCTGTGTCTTTGGAGAGTCTTTGGAGAAGAGGAGGAAAAGGTATTTCCCCAGACTCTATTTATTCTATCAACCAGGATAGGCTAGGTTACGCTTCAGTAACAAACAACCTTAAGGTCCTAGTGACTTAGAACAACAAAGACTATTATTCTGAGAACAATAAAAGAATATAGAATAGAGCTGGGGACTTTGTTCTGTTTTTCCTCACCTTAGAATTTGGACTAACAGAGCAGCCACCATTTCAAATATTACCAGTCACTGTAATAAAGGAAAAGACAGTTTGGGAGTGTTTGGCATCAATATGAAATGCTCTGGCTTAGGAGTGGCTCTCATGACTTCTGCTCCCAACTCATTGTCACATGGTCACACAGTCACACCCAACTCTACGGAGCTCAAGAAAAGCAATCAAACCGCATGTTTAGAATGCGGAGAACAGAAGTAACACATGGCTCCCCCTTCCTTGGACCCATCATGCTGTTCACATTTAGTGGCTTTGTACAGTCTGTTTCTTCTGCTTGGAATGCCATTATCTCTTCCCAGAGAGAGGCTATTCATCATTCAAATACCTCCCCATCTCGAAGATAAATGCTGGAATTATCTATATGCTTTCCTGCTACACTGAGAACTCCTTTAGAGGAACGAGATTAGTGCCTCTAGGCTGAATGAATGAATGAATGAATGAATGAATGAATGAATGCTGCAACTCCTTGCCCAAGACGGCCTGACCTGATCCCCCACCTCACAAATGGCTCTGGATGTCATGGAAGGAGAAAAACAAGTTTTGCCACACCCTTCCCAGCGTCTGCACTATAATAGTGGCCGTGCGGCAAGCATTAACCTGTACCAGGCACAATTAAGGATGCTATTTACATCACCTGATTGAATCCTCCAAGCAATAGTCTACGGCAGTGGTTCTCAACCTTGGCTGCACATTAGAATCACCTGGGAATCTTTTTAAAATCCTGATGTCTGGGCCTCATCCTCGGAGGATGTTTCTTTGTTATGGGGTGGGGCCACAACATTAGTCACAAAGAAACAGAATTTTTGGAGGATGAGGCCCAGAAATCAGGATTTTAAAGATTCCAAGGTGATTCTAATGTGCAGCCAAGGTTGAGAACTACTGATCTATGGCCTTGAGTTAGAAATCACGACAGTAAAGTTTAGAGAGGTTTGGTGACAGACGTAGTCAGTGAGAGACCCAGGCTTAGCGTGCAGGTTCATCAGAGGCTAAAACCCATGCTTTGAACGGTGCACTGTGTAGTCTCCACAGGTCACAGAGACAGGCCAAGGCCGCAGGCCCATCCCCACCAGGCTCAGGTTTCAGTCTCTCCCAGCACACCCCTGACAGCAAAGCCAGGGGTCCCACTGTCCACAGTCCCGAAGCAAATTTCCACAGATTAGAGAACTAGATATAGCAGAAGCTCTGCCCCAACACAGGCCCATGTGGTGGGAGCCCAAGCAAAGCCCATCAAGGAAACTGGCTTGCTCTGACCATGACAGAGAGAACACTTATATGAACAGTTCATTGAATTGGGATTATTAAGCCTGAAAAAACAAAAAACAAAACAAAACAAAAAATCTAAGAGTAACTTAATAGATTTTGTTTGATGACCAAATGTTCACTAAATCCACCAAGGATAAAAGATTCATCTTGGGGGACTTCTATTAGGCAACAAGAAGCCTCTCTTAACAGGACAGAGTATTAAATATATTTGACAAATAAAGGGTGATGGAGTCTTCCTTTGTATCTAGGGTCTCTATCTACTCAGTCATTTATTTGTTTATGCGTTTAACCACTTATTCTTTCAGCATTTGTTTATCTACCAGGCCCTGTGCTAGGTCCTAGAAATATAAATATGAGGAAGAAATAACTCTGCCCTTGAGACCTTCTTCCTGGAATCTCTTTTCAAGATGCAAAATTTCTTGGAAAAATATATAACAGTTTATAACACCTTAATGCAAATACATTTTTACATTTCCCAGGGAGGCCCTGGTTACCAGACTTGATTTACGTGGTAGAGGCTGAAGAGCAAGGCCTGGGAACCCAGACTACTACAGAAATGTTTATGCTTTAGGATCCCACTGGTTTCCTATTGCTGCTGTAACGAATTACCACAAACTTCAAGTGGCTTAAAACAACAGGTATGCATTATCTTACCCTCCTGGGGGCGAGAGGGCTAAAGCCAGTTACACTGGGCTAAAGTCAAGACGTTAGTAGGACTGATTTCTTCCGTAGGTTCCAAGGGGAGAATCCTTTTCCTTAACGTTTTCACATTCCAGTGGCTGCTAGCATTCCTTGGCTTGTAGCCCCTTCCTCCATCATCAAAGTTCGTCATTACAGTCCCCTCCTTCTGTTATCACATCTCCTATCTCTGACTCTGACACATCCCATTTCCCTCTTATAAGGACTGTTGTGATTACATCTGGCCCCTCAAGATACTCTCTCCATCTCAAGAACCTGAATTTAATCACATCTGTGAAATCCTTCTGTTATACAACACTAGAGGCCCGATGCACGAAATTTGTGCAAGGGGCTTGGCCCTCGCAGCCCTGGCTTCGTCTGGAAGGTCGTCTGGACAGTCATCTGCTGTTCGGTCTAATTAGCATACTAGCTCTTTTTTATATAGGACTTCCAGGTTTCAGGGCTTCGCACCTGGACCTATTTGGGAGGCACTATTCAGCCTTTCACGGGGATAGAAAGACTATTACAGCCACTTTTCCTATTGACAGTTGTATCCAGGATTGGCCCTGACATTCGCCATCGCTGTGGTCATTGTGGAATAGGGGAGACTGCCTTGGCCAGTGTCACACAGCTCCTGGGACCGCAGAGTCACCGGGTTCGCCCTGTGATATGGCCAACCCTGGGTGGGAGTTTAGATACTATGCTGGCTAGAGGCAAGAGAACAGACAAGATAAACCTTTCATACCCATTCCAGTTCTATAATGATAGCTAACACTTACTAATCATTTATCAAAGTAATCTGTGCACCAGTTTTAAAAAATAAACTGTACTAACAGACTCACATCCAGCAACAGCAGCCCCCGATTCACCCTCCTCACCTCGTCAGTCCCACAGAGGGAACCTCTCGCAACTCTTAGTACTTCCCACTGGCTTTTCCCTCCACTCTTAAAGAGCACGGTCGTGCTGCTGTTTCCCGCGCTTTCAGTGTCAGACAGTTTCTACTAAATCCCCATGATTGCAGCTGAGGGTTTTGCTCTCTGCTACACTGCCACCTTCTCCCTGCTACCTCTCCCCATCCTCCCAGTGTAAGTATCTGCGGTGAAAGTAACAGTCTGTGATAGACTCTGAGTATGGGAGGGAGGAACACTTTTCCCCTCAGAGTTCTTCTGGCTGCTCGAAGAATCAAATTGACAAGAGCCCAATGAACAGGAGAAAAATAACCAAATGTGTCACGTAGGTACATATGGGGGTCCATAAGAGTATGGGGCCAGAGGACAGATCCGGCAGTTGAGGCTTATCCACCATCTCGAGCTGAGGAGAAGGGAGGAGGAGGGAGTGGTTTAGGACTTCCAGGACAGAAGGCAATTCGTATGGAGATGGGTGCAAACGCTTGGGAACTAAATGTTTGCTGGGCCATCTCCAACACTGGGCATGGGAGGACTTTCATCACATGGCCTTCGCTGGGCTCCTTCCTGACAGTCACTAGTTCAGATTAAACTATGGCGGTCTGCCATGGGAGCTCCCTGCCCGGAGCAGGTCCTCTGCTAAGTTCTTTTAGGCAGTTTGGAGTGCTCTTCATAAGTACCGTTCCCAGCTGAGCAGGCACTGTACCATAACATGTTGTTTTCCTGGAGTTTATGCACACATGATTTTTAAAAAATGCTGTTTTAAATGAACCAACTACTCTTTCTCTCCCCCCTACAAATGTTCCAACTGTTGGGTCACCCAGCAAAAGTTTTCCAAATATTTATACTGATCAGTAATCCTCCAGCCCGCCACGCCCATCTGGGCTTTCCCCCTCCAGCCAGGGGCAGCGCTGCTGCCCCAGAACTTTGCTTTGGCCATCTTCCTAGACTGGATTCCCAAAGGCCCCCAGCAGGGGTCAGGCCTCAAACGCCACCCCCACCACCACCACCACCACCACCACCGCTGCCGTGCCACACGGCTTCTGTAAGTAGGCATTCCAGAGAGTCGCTATGAATCTGAGCAGGAGGAAGCTGCTGCCTGGTAGTTACTGCTGATGGTCGAATTGCGTTTGAACTCTACACTTGCACACACTTTCCAAACAGACGACACTTCTCCGAGTGTGAGTGTTGGCTCTGCTCTTCACACCTGGAACACAGCATGCACGCAGGGAGTTATCTTTAACCTCAAACAGCCTCGCAGACATGCCTCCTTTGCCACTCCGGGCATCCTTCCTCCCTCCTGTGAGGCTTTGCTCAGAAGCAACATCTGGTGGGTGTGGGTGGTTTTCTTCTGTGATTTATTTATTTTCTCTACCTTTCTCCCCTTAGTCTTGGAAGACTTCCAGTGTGCCTACAGCCTGCCCAAGCAATGGAGCTTCTATCTCAGTGGTTCTCAACCTTCTGGCCCTTTAAATACAGGTCCTCATGTTGTGACCCAACCATAAAATTATTTTCATTGCTACTTCATCACTGTAATGTTGCTACTGTTATGAATCGTCATGTAAATATCTGATAAGCAGGATGTTCTTAAGCGACCCCTGTGAAAGGGTCGTTGAGAACCGCTGTTCTATCTGAACCATGTACCCCTGCACCCACCTACTTCACTCCTGTGCTGTCACACACACACAGACTCCCTGAGCACTTTGCCCCAGCCGTGTGAGGAGGAGAAAGTCCTGGTCAGTGTCAGAAGACATGGGTCTCATCAGCCTGTTGGACTGGAATCGTGAGGGTGAGAGGCATGAGGGGGAGAGAAGAGAGGTGTGATGAGGGAATTGAAGCTGCTCCACGTAGCCCCGCGTGCCATTTTGCATGTCCTCCTTGGGACGCCTAGCTCCCTCACAAACATAGGCACACACCGTGAAGAGCCAATTACCGCTGGCTTTTACCTCCACCTGGGGAAGCCATGGATCCCCAAAGGGCACGAGCCCTTTCAGAACCAAAGCCCGGCCGCGGCGGCCGTTCCACCGAAGCGGCCCTGCACCGTGGCTCTCTCCTCTCTCTCCCGTTCTCTTTTTCCTTTTTCTTTTGCCTCCATTTTTCCCACCCTCCCTCCCTCGTTTCTCTCTGCTGCTCCTTCCTTTTAAAAACAAGCAGAGCAGCCACCCTCCTGTTGATCTGCTTGTGCTCCGTGTGCGGAGCCTGGGGACCGCCCAGCGTAGTTCCCTGTGGCTGTTCCGTTGAGCCCGACTGCGGCCCAGCAGCGGCAACGCAGTCCCGTCCCAGCTCCGTGAGGTCCCGGAGGCTGACAAGCAGAACAGCCTCTGCTTTGTTTGTGTTTCACTCGTGGTGCCCTGTGAGCCAGGTGGGCTGCGGGCCGGGCTCCTCCCGCAGGACACATCAGAGAGGAGCTGGGCTCCATGTCGTCCCTACACACTCCCTTCCGCTAACACGCGCGCACACACACACACACACACACACACACAGCTCAGGCCCGGTGGCGGGTAATGATCCAGCCCAGGGAGCATGAGCGGGCGCCCAGGGAAGGCAGTGTGATGGGGAGGGTGAAGGTGAGAAGGAAGAGAAGTAATGCCGGGGTGGGCAAAAATAGGTTTACAGTTGTGCATGACATTCTTCCGAGTTAATAAAGCTCTTGTAATCATTGTAGTCTGCGTGTCTTTTTCCATACGAACAACTGTAAGCCTACTTTTGCCTGCGCCTGTACTGGTATTTATTGAGACGCTCACATATTTCACTAGGCACTTGTGCCACCCTCATGCTTCTCTTTGGAATATATGTTGTTGCCACTTTTTCTCTCAGAAAAAACTGAAGTCAGTCATCTACTTGGCCTTTTCCCTTTCAAGTGGTAGACCTGGAATCCCCAAATTCATTCACAGTCTGCAGTGGGTGGGTGGCTGGGTGAGTTTTTAACAGCTCTTCTGGGCAAAGAGCCCAGATCCGACTGTCAGAGACATGGGCTAGATGATCACCCTCCAAATTTTGAAACAGAACATGGTTATATAAAGTCGCAGGGGTTTAGCATCACCGTTAGACACACTCCCAGCAGGCCCGAGCCCCCCGCCATGGAGCAAGAGTGGTACAGTATCTCAAAAGCATTTTAAAAATGGTGAGATTTCAGCACAGCATACTTACAAGGTGGTGTCATCAATACTGCAGCTGAAATAGCGAGGTTTTACCTAAAAATGCAGAGGTGATGACTCGGTTGAGAGGCATTAGGAATACATTAGGGACGGAACAATGGAAGCCCCAAGCCACAAGTCATTACTGAGGACCTTCAAGTTGCTGGGTGCTAAACTAATGTAGACAGATCCACTGACCCAATAGCTTAGACTGTTCTGGACAATTCCAATTCTAAATATTCTCTTTAACAAAAGAGAATCAGTGACAGGTACTAGAAGTTTCATACTTTTGGCATCTGAACCATTTAAAACAACAACAATAGCTAATATTGTTTCATGCTCTGTATGAGCAAATTCTAAGGTTGACCCAGCCACTAGCTCATCTAATCCTTGCAAATACCCAGGATGTAGGTGCTATATTAACAGTACCTGGCACAGAGCTGATCAATAAATATTTATCGAATGAATCACCACACTGTTTTCTAGACTAGAAATATAACACGGAGGGATATTTCAGAGCACGTCCTACATCACACAGCTAGTGAGGGATTGACGGGAATGATAACCCAGGCAACCTAACTCTGTCACTGCCTGCCAGACCCTGCCCAGCACAGCCTGCGTTTCCCCGCCTCATTCCACTGCCTCTCTACAAGGGGACCGACCCCACGCAAGTTGAGGAAGCAGTAAGGTGGTGGAACCTGGTTTCCAAGGAGAAGCAATTTCACGGCAGGGGACTGAGAACAGCCCAGGCTATGGCACCGCCACCTAAGGAGACCCGCGGCTGGATCTGGGCCTGCCGAGGGATTGGAAGGGAACCTCTCTGTTATCAGGAGGTGCCAGCCCAGCGCAGGACGCGTCCTGGTCCCAGCCATGGGCAACGACTACCCGCCCTTTCAACTGCCTCCTCAGGCCTCAGGCCTGAGTCGCAAAGGGCGAAGCTAGACTCGTGTTTGTACTTAGAAGCAGTAATCAGTTCCAGCGCCGCAGCTGCAGCTGTAGCTGTGGGAGTGGTGACAGTGACATCCATAGAGCATGTCCCATGTGCTGGTGACTCTATGCACATATGCCATTCATTCTTCCCATCTTCTTTATGAGAGCAACTGTATGAGCCCCATTTTGCAAATGAGGAAACTGATATATTAGAGATTAAAACCAAGAATTTTACAAATCGCCAGCATCTAGATAGGAATAAAGAAGTGTTATGGGTAGCCTCCTCAAAGAAGGAAAGGCATTTAAGACTCATACCTGCGAGCTCACCCATGGAAGAAACTGCAAAGGGAGGGTTCCATTCCTGCCCCTGGGAACAGTGGAGGGTTACGGGGTGAAGTGTATACGAGCATCTGCATTTTCCGGTACAAGCTAATTGACCCACCTGATGCTCCTCCACCATCTGTCTTCCCACTCACACCCCCACCACTCCCCCACCCCCAGCTATTAGGGCAGCCGGGAGCCCAGAATAGTCCCTCATATCACCCGCGCCAGGAAGAGATGGCCTAACACTCTGTGCACCCCCAACAGGGCGGAACCTCTGAAAAAGAGGGTGCCTGGCTTTATTCATTCTAAAAACAGGTATTGTGTCCCTTCTGTACCAGGCACATTTCTAGACATGAGAACAGACCAGTGAACACAGCAGAGAAAAGCCACCTGCTCTCATGCAGATTCCGTTCTGCCCAAGAGACCAGGAGTGGCAGAGCCATCGGCCAGGGCCTCCCTCAGGGAAACCTCAGTCCCCGCGGAGCTTCACAGGAGAAGCTCCGCGAGGCGGACCTGCTGTCTGTCCTCCCAGCAGCTACCCTTGTGTCACAGCGTGCGCGCGACAAACAGGGGCGAGTGTCCAAGTCTCCCCAAGTCATACCCCACCCCTCAGGGCCCCTCTGCCGACCCTGTGCGTGGCTCCATCGCTTCCTCACCGCTTTGCATCCATGCCAGCCCAAGAAAGCCCCCAGCCCAACCCGCTGGGCCTCGCACCCGCAACAGCCTTATCAGGGGGTCTCTGCGCAGGGAGCACAGAGCCGCAGGGTGTTGATTCCTGGCGGTGAGGCAGATGTGCTGAAGCTGACAAAATCAGCGAGGTCAACACAAACCGCAGAGCGCGCTGTAATTGGGTGAGAGCACCGCTTCCCTGCTGTGTGATCTGGCCCTCTCTGCCTCCTGCTTTGGCGGCGGGTCTTCGTCTTACACAAAGACTTTATTGCACGGCTGTGTGTTTTATTTGTCTAAACTTCGGGTTTTGCTGACCCACAATTTCCGTTCCCTTTGTCGTGTAGCAGAGGAGGTATCTGGGGGGATGGAGATAGAAGGAAGATGGCTTCAGACCCCAGGGGTTTTGTGTCTGGAGGAATCGCACACTCCCTTCCGTTTTGTTTCAGGGAGGAAAGTGCTCTCTGCCCTCTGATGTGGATAAGAGCGCAGGTTATCAAGAGCACAGCTCTACCTGACTCAACAGCAAGCACCTCGCTGTACTCACAGCGGCAGCCACACACTCACACACACACACTCACAGGCGCTCGCTCGCACCCTCCCTCCCTCACGGAGGTTCCATGCAATGCGGCTCCCCGGGGGCGGGAGCTCTGCCCCTTCTGTGCACCCTGGAGGCTTAGCACAGGCCCAGCGCGTGGCTGGGACCAGTCAGTGTTGGGCGAATGAGCGGACGCCCAGCTGAGACTCAGTGGTGGCGCCCTGTCCCGAGCCCGGCTGAGCGCAGAGAAAGGACTGTGGGTGAGCTTCAGCCCTTGTGGAGGAAGAAAGCCCCCACTTGGACCCTGCTGCGGGCCGGACCCGCTAACCCAGAGCCTTGGAGGCAGCAAGGACTGAACTGGGGAGCGACCTTCTTCACATTCAGGTCAGACAGCACCTTGCTCGGAGCCTTCTCCTCCCTCTCTGCCCAGAGCTTGCTGTCCCCGTGGAGCCCCTCCCGGCAAGGACAAGACAAGGTAACCGCTGGCCACCTAATGACCTAGGGAAGTTCTCGCCCAGCCATCTGGCCCCGGAGACTACCAAGGTCATCACCAATGCTGGTCTTAGATTGAAAGCCATTCCTGTTGGCTTACCAGGGCCCCCGAAGGCACATGTCGCCAACCATGGAAGGGTAGTGGAGACTTCTTCATAAGCAGGATGGTCACCTCCCCGTTTGCAGATTGATAAGAGACTAAGTCAAGAAGTTCATAGTCGGTAACGATATTAGCAAGACAGGCAGCCGATTCTGCCATCGTCTTTCATGCGGGCCATGGTCAAGTCCTCCTAACGCTCTCTCCCTGCGCTGCCTTCTCAACTGCTCCCCAGTAAGCCTCCCGAAAAACACAGCTGGCAGGGAGTAGCCAGTGTGGGGAGGACGTGGAGGAACGGAAACCCTTGTACATTACTGGAGGGGACGTAAAATAGTGCGGCTGTTTTGGAAAAGGCTCAAAGGTGAAATGTAGAGTTACCATATGACCCAACTATTTTACTCCTAGGTGTATACCCAAGAAATATGAAAACATATGCTCACACTAAGACCTGCACAAAGCAGCATTGTTCATAATAGCCAAAAGGTAGAAACAGCCCAAATGTCTATTAAAGTATGAATAAATAAATAAAATGTAGTATATCCACGCAATAGACTATTATTCAGCAACGTGGAGGGATCTTGAAAGCATTATGGTAATGAAAGAAGCCAGTCACAAAAGGCTACATAGTAAATAAGTCCATTTATATGAAATGTTCAGAATAGGCAAAGCTATAAACACAACAAGCAGATTAGTGGTAACCTAGGGCTGGGGGGACATTGGCAGAATGTGGGGGCCCGGGTGGATGTTAGTGCTAAAGGGCATGAGACTTCTTTTGGGGGTGATGAAAATGTTCTAAAACTGATTGTGGGATGGTTGGTTGAGCAACTTGGGGAGTACACAAAAAAACATTGCAGGCGCGGCTGGCATGGCTCAGTGGTTTAGCATCGACCCACGAACCAGGGGGTCATGGTTTAATTCCAGGTTGGGGACCAGGCCCGGGTTGCAGGCTCAGTAACCAGTGTGGGGCATGGAGGAGGCAGCCAATCCATGGTTCGCTCTCATCATCGATGTTTCTGTCTCTCCCTCTCCCTTCCTCTCTGAAATCAATGGGAAAGTATATATGTTTTTTAAATATTGCATTGTACACTTTAAATAGATGAATTGCATGGTATGTGAATTATATCTCAATAGACCTGTTACCAAAAAATAGAGGAAAATTATTTTAAATCTGCTCCTATCCCCAACAAAGACATCTGCTGGTTTCCATCACCCATCAGTGAAGCCCAGCCCTGGCCACCACAGAAACGCCACTGTGACGACTTGGTTCTGCCCTGGTTTTCAGCCTCACTTTGC